GTCTAATAACATTCTAAGAATGCTAAATTCAAAAAATAATTTTCGGATTCTTTTTACTAAGCTTCAATATAAAATTGAAATGAAAAGCGCTCGTCAAAAATGATTCCAAGAAGGAAAGAGGATGAAAATTATAAACACTGTTATTGTTGCAATCATGAAAACAAATTTTTAAAGACTTTAAATTAACTTCACTAGTTTCGTGGTCCGCTTGGCCAATTAATATCTTACAATTAATTAAGGTTTTCAGTTGAGATAAAAAAATGTCAAAAAGGAGGGAAAATTCAAAAGGTGTGGTTGAGATGGGAGGTTGGTGTCCGAGTGGATCGAGGTCACGATAGCTCAAGTGGTAGAGCAGCGGCGTATCAAGCCGAAGATTGTGTGTTCGAATCCCGCTCGCGCCATTGACTTTTTTATCTCAACTGAAAACTTTAATCATTTTTAAATTAACATTGTTCTTCAAAGAAAAATTAATTAAACTATACAAAGTTTCTATGCAACCAGAGATTAGCTATTTATGCCATAATTTTTTTCCGTACATAAAGTTATTAAATTGCCCGAAAAAATAAGACAGGTATTAACCGCATAACTAATAATCTTTGCAGCTAGTTGAAGGTTAAGCATTTTATTGCTATAAACTGTAAATAAAATCGACCAAGAACTGTACCTAGGGGTACACCAGATTTAAATACAATATAAAAAACACTTGTGACACCGCCTATTTTAGTAACCTGCGTTCTACCAGTAAGGTATGATGTAAAGAGGGGGCATTGATCCCAAAATGCCAATATTTTTGAGCGTTTTATTAATTAAATTAACTAATTTCGTGGTCCGCTTGACCAATTATTACATTACAATTAATTAAGGTTGTTTAGTTGAGATAAAAAAGTCAATGGCACGAGCGGGATTCGAACCCACCACCCAAATGTGGGGTTGAGATGGGAAGTTAGTGACCGAGTGGATCGAGGTCACGATAGCTCAAGTGGTAGAGCAGCTGCGTATCTAGCCGAAGATCGTGGGTTCGCATCCCGCTCGTGCCATTGACTTTTTATCTCAACTAAAAAACCTTAATTAATTGTAATGTTTTAATTAATGTTAAGTTTAATCCACATAATCGAATTTACTAATTTCCAGCAAAACCCAATAAACATAATTCCACAATAAATTTCCTTTAACAAATGATTATTACATTACAAATATTTTTTTTAATATAAGGTCTTGGTTGAGATGAAAAGTATATAAACATAAAACTAATAATTAATTAAAATAATTAATACGATCAATTATAACCATTAAAGATAAATTGATTATTACAAATAAAATTCAAAACGGTTGTCTTTCACATGTTTTTGAATTTTCTTATAGTTAGGGTGTATCGTCTGGCTTTTAAACGATTACATTTATGTTTGAGAAATTAAGATCCCTCTTACTAGCAAGAGTGTCTGAGTTAGGCATATTAGATCCCATAAAGGAGACAAATTTCCCTGCTTTCTGAAGGGGAGGAAAAATATCGTTTCTTAGCGTTCTTGTCCTTGTCCCCCCGCTCAAGTTTAGTTGAAAGTAGATGTTAATCTATTAGGATTAATGTCTGACGTACGGTCGAGGAGAGCAAGGATTGTATTGGCGGGGCTGAGAGTTGGTCGGGGCCGGTTTGCAGCAATCTACTTAATGGCCTGGAGTGAGGGAGAAACCGAGCTGTGAAGAGATAGCGACCGCTCACAGCGTACATGGCGTTCGTTTTACGCTTATCAGTCGCGAGGGAAAAATGAAATGTAATTACAAGAGAAAAAAAATATCCGGGTGAAATACGACCTTTTCGTAAATTTAAATTACAGCCACCTTTCCGAGGATAGTGAGTGGTTCAATTAAAAGGGCGTTTCGAGAACGTTCTCATTTGAATGCAAATTAGGGCTGGAAACGCTATCAATTGTTCTCCTAGGCCTAGATATAATTGAAAAATGGAATTCTTTATTTGTCTGCTAATCGAGTTCGAAAATGTGTTTCTTAAGAGGCGTAGCTGGAACAAGGAAAAAGAGACACCCCCAAGAACCTCATCCCCTTATTTTGAAGCGACTAGTCTTTCTGCTAAATATTTTAATGCTTATGCAGTATGTTTGATTGTTTATGATCATTCTAACATCTGGCCTCGTTAATTAGTTCTGTCATGTTAGATTAGTAAGAGCTGTTGTTGATTTGAGCGTTTACGAGTCTGCTAAGTTGATGTCCACTTTACCAACTCCACAACATTTCTCTATATTTTAGTAATGTTGCCTTTTTTCGTAACACCTCGAAATTTTATCCAAATTCAACGGTATGACAGGTCAAATATTGTACTATTCTGTTTTCAGCCTGTGCCAACCACGTTTAGATTTTATTTTATTATATGTAGTAAAGTAATAAAGAAGTTAACTCAAACGTTTTATTTTATATTCCTTGTTCTAATGTATTTACATAATACTTATTGCAATATCTCACTGGCACTCTCAACACGACACCCAATAATAACACATCTACACAGAAAACACTTTGAGAGAGTACAAATACTTTGAGTCTAAAATTTCTAGCATTGTATAAATTAACTTTTTTCACATCCTACATGTATTTGTATAATTTAAACAATGTTTATAAATCCCAGGTGCTGAAGATGATCCCAATTAAGATCGAAACGTTGACACGATAAAGAAAATGCTTTTTTTAAAACCTACGTCACACCAGGCCGCATCTCACGATCTCCAAATAATGGTTATAATAATTTACAATTAATTAAGGTTTTTAGTTGAGATAAAAAAGTCAATGGCACGAGCGGGATGCGAACCCACGATCTTCGGCTTGATACGCTGCTACTCTACCACTTACGCTATCGTGACCTCGATCCACTCGGACACCAACTTCCCATCTCAACCGCACCTTTTGAATTTTCCCTCCTTTTTGCCATTTTTCTAATGTCGTGTAATCTATTTGATTCTCGGCGACAAATGAAATGGCCACGGAGAGCTTTAGTGTTAACATCATTAACATTAAATTCACTAGTTTTCGTGGACCGCTTGACCAATTAATATTCAATAAAAATTCAATCCCTCATTTTTGCCATTTTTCAATGCTCGTGCCATTGACTTTGTTATCTTAACTAAAAACCTTAATTAATTGTAATATATTAATTGGTGAAGCGGACCACGAAATTAGTGAATTTAATGGTTATATTAACGTTAAATTGGTTAGAATCTAGAAGAGATACGAATTTTGTAGGAGGAACATTGAAAAAAATACCCCCGGGCGTAAATTCAGCCAAAAATGGCCTAGTTTCTATTACTATGAAAAATTCTTTTTCTTAGCCTTTCAAGGGTACTTAAGACGAATCCGAATAGGTTTTTTTCAAAACAGACGGATTTGAACGTATTGTACTGAGAGCATCTTTTGGTAATGCTTCCATTTTTCTTGAAAATCACGAAAATATTGGTAACTTTGAAACAACTCCGCCGATCTAAAAAAATTTTTACATGAATTTATAATTTTACAACGTACATGTAATGGTATATCGGCGACAAAAAATAGAACATTTGAAGAGTATTTATTGTTTTCATCACGTTTTCTGATATATAATGACATAAAATCTAAAACTTGTTGATAGAAGCTAAAGAAGAGATGTCTAACTTTCCATCGATTGTAAGTGGGCGAGAATCGAGCCCAAAAATGTCTATTTTTTATTGCTTTAAAAATTCATATTTAAGGCTTTAGATGTAGCTTAGAATGAATCTGAATAGGTTTTTCCAAAAAACATTTTTACAGAAAGCATTGTTTAGTCTTCCAGCTCAAAAATGCTTGCGATTTTGTTTTCAGAAATCACAAGTTAGTGATAACTTTGAAACGACTTCACCGATCTACAAGAAATTTTACATGAATGGACTCTTTTAATCTGCTTGAATTTTACATAATATCACCAAATCGGACGAATGACTCTTGTACATTTCCACCTATCTAGAAGAAACTGTACACGCATCTATGATCGTTTAAATTACACATAATACTACAGTAGCGGCTTCTGTGATTAAATTAAAACTGGAGATAAAAAATAAAACGTTTGAAAAGATTTTGTTAATATCATCCTCATTTTTCTCTCTCATAATGTCAATAAATCTACACCTTGTTGACATAGGCTGAAAGAAGAGATATACAGATTTCCAATGGTTGTAAGGGCATAAAATCTCGAGGAAGAATTTTTATATGGACATCTGCAACATAAAATTATCCTGGGAAAGAATCAATCCCAAAAATGCGCATTATTTATCGCTTTAAAAATTCATATTTAAAGGTTTTAGATTGTGCTTGAAACGAATCGGAATAGGTGTTTCTAAAAAAGGTTTTTATCCTATTTTACCAAAAGCGTCTTTTGGTCATCCAGCCCAACAATGTTTCTGTGTTTTTGCATTGAAAATTCAACGGTTGTAATAGCCGAAGGTCGTTGGTTCGAATCCCGCTCATGACACTAAGTTTTCATTTCAACTAAGACCTTACAAATAAATAATAGTAAATTTGATCAATCGACCACTAAATTAAATTGGGGTTGTAATAACGTTCAATTTGTATTGAATCCTTAAATAAGGAGCTATGAATTTTTCAATTGGAACACAAGACATTGTAGTAAAAAACAAATTCCTGGGAAACCATCCTGCAAACGTTTATTTTTTAATACTATGAAAATTTGTTTTTAACGGGTTTAAAGGGTGTTTAAACTCATCCAAATGGTTTTCCAAAAAAAGAAGTTCTTTGGCCTAATTAACAGAAAGCGTCTTTCGGTTTTTGTATATTTTATCGATCTAATCTCGGACACGTTATATTTCGATCTAGTATATATATTTATATCCTCAACAAAAATTTCATTACAATCGGGAAACGTAGGTCTTTTGATGATTTTCAGAAAGACGACTTACGTACCTACATCTAGTTATTAATAAAGAATAATAGTAACTACATTAATTTCTTTTATTAAAATGAATAGGACAAAATCCATAAATAAAATGTAATATAAAATATCTACAAAAAACAATGTCTTTAAAATAAAATGATGGTTTTGGTCTATATTAGTCAGACCAAGACTGTCTTTGTAGAATTCAATCGTCTCCGCGATATTCGTTATAATTCCGACAAAAGGGCAGGTTGGGTTGTACTGGGAATCCTACTTGGACTTAGGACATTACTTCTCTTATCTTCAAAGGACTTCCTCTCCACTAGCAGTATGTATCCCGTATTCACTCGAGGTCGTCATCCTGTGGCTTTGCGAACGTTCGCTTTCTAAATAAATACAGACAAAATATAAGAGTTGACTAAATCACTTGAGATCCTTTTACATACTGTTCTTTCCTTGACGAAAGTATTCCCATTATGCACAAGACGATTTGGATGAATGCTATCACGCCTGCCCCAAAGCTCCTGAAATCGTCGATTAATTGTAATTTAGATTTCAAAGCACTTGGTAAATTTCTAGGCAAAATTTATATTTGTAAAGGTTTGTTGCTGTCATAATTTTTTTTCTTCAAACTTTGATCAGTCGAATTGGAATAGGATGTTGATGCGAATATGTAACTATGTGAGTTACGTCTCAGGTATTTCTTTGATGCGAAAGTCCAATTGTGAATAAACATCCATATGATTATTTGAAACAGAAATAATATTTTCAAATTTGGAAAATTCTTTTGTTTTTTCTAATATGACATTTTTTAAAATAGAAATAAGAAGAGACTATAGCATAAGTTAAGGCGTCATAACGACATAGCATTAAACATCATTTTCATACAATATAAGAATCTAAGGTTGCATCACCTGCAAATTACCTGTAAGCGCTTGATAGGTACTCTTCTCCGATTCGCTCGAGATAGTTTCTAACGATGTCGGTGGAATTGCCGGTCTCCTCTTCTTCCTGGGCCTTGGCTTCTACCTGCTCCTTCACAGCTTCTATTAACGGAACACTGTGCACGTAAAATAGTATCCCAATAATGAACAGGTGGAGGACTGCCCAAGTGCCCCAGACGAGGAAAACCCACAGTAATGCGACCCTCACCTCGGCCTTTCCCATCTGGCGAAAGCTGCTGCTTTCCTTGTCGTCTTAACTGGCCAACCTACAAAACGGAGCGGAAAACAATTTACCTCAGCGTATGTTTTATTTATAATATTCTTTCATATTCATAAATAAAATAGGACAGGTGACGAATGATTTTTTAAAAATAAATTTCATTTGGCGATGGAAAGAAAAACTTATATTGGCTTGGCCTTACAGACGGTCGCGGTTGGGTCGATAGGTCTTGTGTCTGGTTCTGAGAGCGACGATCTGCTCAGTCGCATTCGGTTTTTGCGATGTTCCGGACTGAGGTCGGTCTTCTCTAACGTAAACAACGAGGGTTTTTAACAAGAGACGTTTTGTTTTCTGTTACAGGAGAATGTCGACCAAAAGATCGAGGTGTGTACTACGGCCGTCTTATCGGTACATTCCAGGAGTACGCCCACGGGATAAGAGGTACGGCGTACGCAGTTGACGACTCTACGATATTCGTCAAGGGGTTCTCTTACGACGGAACCGGCCCAGGTAAGACTTCCTATTCTGCAGATAAATATCTATGTATTTATAACGACAAATTAACAGGACCGGATGAGTGCTTCGTTTTATATTACCAAGCGTTTGTACGATTTCTGGACATTGAGCCGTAACCTATTTAAAGAATCAAGGAAGCATTGGTTTTTAAAATTAAATTGACTTAAAAGTTGATTGTGTTTTTTTTTTTTTTTTTTGATTTGGGTGAAATCTTGTTTGAAACTGTTGTAAATGATTATCGATCTAATATCGAACGCTGAGCGAACCTGATTACCAGCGGTAGAGGAGCTAGGTTGAATAAATTTCCGAAAGGGCGTAGAACGATGCTCGACCCATCAGAACTGACCTTAACCCGTGCCCCGTCCGTTCAACGTACACTTACTAATCCATATACATACTTGATCATTTCAGATATTCGAGCCGTGTGTTGTTCGGTTTCAGGACGGTTCATTTCCCTGGAAACAGGGTCGTCGTGTGCGGTGCCGATAAAGAGATCATTAACGGGACCGTTTGTCATCCCGCCGCCTGGCGATCAAAGCAGAGCTGGATCGACGAGATAACAGCCAGCCGGCCGATGGGCCGATGTCCTTAACGACTTCACGCTACCGAACGTTTCTCGCCAAAATCGATAAGCCCTGTAAATGCAACAACGTTTCCCCGTCTTTTCCGCCTAATCGCAATACAACAAATTACAATTGTCTTACAAATTTACTTATTTCACTCAGCTGTTTGCATTTACGCTGCAGACAATTATTATTTTAATTACCATCTGGTTACTCTCAATGTTACCTAGTATGCATTTCTTTTGTACTTTTCACGCTCAGAATAAAATCTTATCCACATTTCTTCATTACAAAACTTACTAATGTTTAAATTTTTATGAAAAGAAAATACTTAAGAACGAAACTGTAAACATCAAGAAAGCCTAATATCACAAAGGTCTTGAAAACTAAAAAAAAAAAACGATTTGAATAACATATGATTTTTTGTCTTAATATACTGAATTGCTCAAAAATGATAAGGATATTTGTAATTTATTTTTATTTTATTAATTTTAATTAAATTAACCGATATATTCTTGTTAGTGGGATAAAACAAAATAGAAATACAAACCAAAAACAAACAAATGTTAATCCTCATATTTAATAACGGATTCACTTAACAATAATAAACATGAAGATTACTCATTTTGTAAACAAATACCTTTTCTTGTCTTTTCTCCATTTTAATCAAATTGTATTCTCTTTAACCATGGAAATCATGTTGAAACACAAGGTCGCAATATTATTGTGAGAATGAATGATCGAAGTCACATGCAAGTGGATATTTGGCGTTTCTCAGAGCGAGGTCTGCCGGGCTTTAGCCGGATTCCGAGAGACTGGAAGTTCCATTAAGAGTCCTGGTAGTGGATGTCAGGGCATTACGACACTGAGGAGGACAGAAATATTATCATTGCTGCAAACGGAACCCTTTCCATAGTGCCCGCCATATCCTAAATAAAGTACAAGATATTTTGGCAATGCCTTTATCAACAAAAACGATTCATAATCGTTTGTGGGAAGTTGGCTTCACATCGTATACCCCTTTGAACCCACCACTAGCAACTCAGGAGATTATGGTTCAGCGAGCCCCTAGAAGTCGCGTTTCTGTCTGTACAGTAATAGGCGCCGAAGAGTATACCGAGAAAAGGGGATGCGTACAATGCCCCAGTTCGTGCTACCTTCAGTGCAGTTTGGAGGACGCGGTGTAATGGTCTGGGCTGGGATTTATACTGGACGACGAACTGGGCTCCATATTGCCCAAGGCAACCTCACCGCAGTCCAAGAAATTATCCAGGAATACATCCCTCAGCCCAGGGATCTCATTGGCGGGGATTTTCGATTTCTGGGTGACAGTGCTCGAATGACAATGCTCCATAGAAACAGAGTTGTGCCATTGAGTACATATGGGATACGTTGCAGAGAAGGCCTTTTGATGCGTTGCAACATCTATGGAGTGAAATTCCTTATGAAATTGGTGGCAAATTAGCATCATGCCTACCAGGTGCCCAGAGGTTTCAGCTAACAGGTAATATTACACACGGAATTAATTGTTTAAAAAATTATTGTGTCCAATAAACATAATTATGGAACATAATTAAAACCTTTTATTTTTCAAAATCTCTTAATTAAATTTTCCTTCCGTAAAAACAAAATAATATCTAATAAATTCGAATACAATTTATAATAAAAATAAAATGAAATTTCTAGGGAAAGTAAATATTTTTACTTACTACAAAATTGTCAATATCCCTATTAATTTTTGAGCAGTTTGTTAATCTGGCCTTCTTATACATCATTGATATCGTATAATTTAGCCAATATATTGGGTTGTTTTACATAAAATTCCCGTTTTTATTATTTCATAAATTTGATATTGAGTTCTCTCTTAAAATGGTGAGATGCGTTGTCTGTAGGATGATGAAACCAAAATTCGACAGTTTTGGATGGCCTATTCTCGCAGGGTTGGTCTTTTAGAAAACTTTACGATTTCGCAATCTTCTGCATTGGATCTAGGATGTAAATAGTGGGAGCCAGAAGGGCTCAACTGAAAGTTAAATTTATTCATGGGGGAAAGAACTCCTATCTCACCCTCCTATGATTTAAACATTGCTGTTTTTGTTTAGACCCAACGCTGAAGACGGCAAAGTGCCGACTCAGCGAGGATAGGCACACCAAAATGATCGGTATTTGAAATACTTAGCATATTAAGCGATTCCTATTTTTTTAAGAAGGCATTTATAATTTTTCTTGAGGATTGAATGCAATGATACTGAGCTCTATCTATGATGATGAGCATGTTAGGAAATTGTGGTTTTTTTATCCCCAAGCAGTGAAGGCTTTTGTCCCCTGGCTTTTCCTGCTACCTTTGTTCAATTGACCCGATCGTTCTTGTAAGCAGTAGTAGGTCATTGACTCACTGCTGCAATTAGTTTTCTTGGGTCTTCTTGGTACCGCAGGTATCCATTGAGCGGTTGTTTCGCATTTAAAGATGATATGGATGGCAGATGCTTCCTCCTGCTCCAACGCTCAACTGAGCTATGTTTGAATGAACTCGTACGATGTAAGTGTTTGCTCAGGTGACAGTGACTGATATGTAGACTTGGGAAAAGAAGTGTTGAACGCTATTTTCGAAATTTTTGGCTGAGATAACGAATTGAAAAACCGGCGGAAAAAGGAAGACCTCCATCCCAGCTTCTTCTTCCTTAGAAAGAAGACCAGTATCAAGCTTTCAGTAAAATTACAACCCCCCACACTACTACACCCTCAGTTTCTTAACATTTAATGAACATTGGATATGTGAAACAGCTCGATTGATGTGTTACTTGTTAAAACTATGATATCACAAAAACCCACCGTGAAAAAAGGGCCAAGTTCCAGACACCCCTCCAAAAAATTAGCCTATCAATGTAATAACATCTACACTGAGGTCACATCCGTTATTTTTTAGTCCATAACCTGAGAGAACTCAAAAGGAAGTATAAAACTTCCAGACTCCGTCGCAGAAACTTAAGCATATCAAAGTAGAGACATCTACATCGTAGCTAACCTCACTTCACTCCTACTTGTATCAGCAACACTATTTTTATTGATTAACTCTTGGCTTCTGAATGAGCAATGAGGAGTTGGATCCGTTACTTTTCTTTTGAGTTCTCTCAGGTTATAATCTAAAAATAGAACCGACTTGGTCACAGCGTAGATATCATTGATAGGCTAATTTATTTTGGAGAGGATTTGGAACTTGACCCTTTTTGCACGCTTAGGTTTTAATTTAATTGGGATAGATCATAAACGAAAAGTCGGTGTCACGAGCGGGATTCGAACCCGCGACCCTCGGCTAAATACGCGCTGCTCTGTCACTTGAGCTATCGTGACTTCGATCCGCTCGGACACTAACTTCCCATCTCAACCACACCTCTAGAATTTTCCCTCCTCTTTGCCATTTTTCAAATGTCGTGTAATCTATTTGATTCTCGGCGACAAATGAAATGGCCACGGAGAACTTTCTTGAAGATATACTTCAGTTCAATTATTAAGTCCAGTACAGTTCGTGGTCCGATTGACCAATTAACTTTTTTCAATTAATTAATATTTATGGAAGGTAATGGTCGAGAGGTGAGGTTGAGATGGCAAGTCACGATAGCTCAAGTGGCAGAGCAGCGGCGAATTTAGCCGAAGAACGTGGGTTCGAATCCCCCTTATGACACTGACTATTTTATCTCGACCATTATCTTTCACATTAATTTATTGAAAAAATTGGTCCATCGGACCACGAACTGTAATGGACTTAATAAACGAAAAGGTTCACCCAGAATAGAGCTTGATATCACATATAGAAACGGTTGCCGTTCCTGAGATTCTGATGTTATTTTTTTTTTTTTTATAACAAAAATACGATTCACGTTGAAAAAGAATGTTCAAGTCTAATTGAATATAAACATTAAGAAGTTGTTAAAAGCGGCTTAAAAACTAGTAGAATAACTAGAGTATTATCAAGTAAATATTTTTAATTACATAAAAACTATTTTATATTTAGATTTTTTGTCTTATATCTGGTCTTTCCGAATCGGAAAGAAATTCTAATACAAATAACGGTTTCAAAATGTCTATTATTTTTTTCAGATGCTTTCTTCTGGGTAGGTAGCACACCTCGACCATCTCCAGAAGGATATATTATCCCTTATCCCGAAGATTATGTAGGAAGGTGAGCAAAATTTCTATAAAGTTAAAAAGACAATTTACATACACTGTAATCTTTACGAATCCTGGTCGTTCAACGCTACTGTCTAGGAGAAAATCCCTGAGGAAAAAGATTTTAAATTGATAAAAACAACGATTTAGAAAAGTTTGGACGTTGACGCTTCCTGGTCCGATCGATTGAAAATCCCATTTTGTAGACGGGGGCGTCTTTTCTTAAGCTTAGACAAACTGTAAACAATGATGAACATTGTTTCCTGAAACTCTGTTTACACTGTTTTAAGTCCAGACTTCAGTGTTTCTTAGGTGAAGAACATCTTGCCATGTGATTCTCTTTCAGAAATTTGTGCTGTTATGTTTATTTTTCTTTAGAAAATGTAGGAATGATAAGGAGAACTTGAAAAACTAATAAAAGGTACTAGTCTTTACTGACCGAACTTTTGAAGGAGTATTGAGAAAATTTATTGTAGGATGCAACCAGTTGATTTTGAAGTAGATAAATTTCAAGGTGTTATCCCAAAACAAAAGTTAGATTACCTGATACCTAGTTTTAATAGAAAAGATAAATGGTGGAGTGATTGGGTTGTTCAATTTCTTAAAAAAGATAGTTCCTACTCACCGCAAGATGTTTTCAACGATACGGATTTCGAGCCTACAGCTCACCATCAGGCTGTAGAGCTCCTTCAATCTGATGATGAGCTGTAGGCTCGAAATCCATATCGTTGAAAACAACTTGCGGTGAGTAGGAACTATCATTTTAAAGAGATCTATTTTTAATCGTTACTATGGCTGTTTGCAATTCACATATGAATTGTAAAGCAATAGAAATGTACCGAATGTATGTTCATTTAGTGTGTAAGTTTGTTAAAATGTTACCCGTAGAGAATTAAGATTAATCTATGTTTAATATTTTAGTTTGCGTTGGAATAAATGTGTTTTTTTGTTTCCTTATGTAAATATTGTGTTCTTTTTTTAAGTTAATTTTACTGTTATTGAATTTTCTTTGTTTTATTTTATTTTTTTTTCTCTTCACGGTTCGCTGTTAACGTGTATATAAACAGCGTGGCGCCCATTTTTAAAAAATTTAATATTAAGTTCATTATTCTTCTACCTAATTCATTAAGTAACCCTGCCCGTCTCCACGGAGCGAAGCCGGCAATTCTCGGCGTAAGACAATATATTATACCAAACCAAAGACAAGTTATACTTTTTATAGCTTCAATTCATTTTTAAAATTTTCTGCGAATTTCATTTGGTAATATGGTCTACTGACAAGTGCTTGTAAACACGATCCACCATACTTGATGGTTAATGTTTTTTATTTGATCGGAAAGCAAAATACACCTCTGGGTGTCAAAATAAGGCAGAATCAAATATAAGGGGGAAACAAAACGTTAGGAATATTATTTACAACCAGGATATACATGAATTCACAGGAAAAATAATACCATAAATTAGAGTAACAATAATTAATAACTAATAAATTGTGGGCAGTAAATTAAAGAAAAAAATACCAAAAATACATGTGACTGTCCATGTTTGACCATTTATCCACGTTTAAGATTTAAAAATCTCAAACCTTTATTAAATCATTACAGTATAGTATTAGTATTATTGTGAAATATTTTATAGAGGTAATCGATACTAGGATTTTTTTCATTGTTACTGTTAATTGTTTTTATTATATTTGATGAAAATTTCGACTTGGAAAAACGTAAGTTGTTTACCAATCGTACACATGGCTTATTATTTTATAGATTGCTGTTATCCAAACCATGGTTTCATGTGATATCAAACATTAAGGTGCATTAGAAAATCAATATTCCCAATGTGTCATATCATATCGATTATAGCACGTTTTGAGCCGAACGTGGCCTATTTTGATTTTTACGATATTTCGTAATTATGTGATGTTTTACTGTAATAACAAACATTAATATAGTAAAAGAGGAATGTTAAATACTGGATGAATATTTTCACGAGGTCACCTAGAGGATAATTTTCACCTACTTGACCTTTCACTATTTCGAAAAAAAATTAAAAAGTTCAACGGATGTTAACATGTGTAATTTGTTTTCCGAAAAAGGAATTTTATTTTTAGCTAAAGAGTTGAAATTAATATCATTGAACGTGGCATGTGGTCTTATTGTACCTTGAATCAAACACGCCGGGAAGATTTTGCTTTCGAGTCAAAGGTATAAGCAGGGCTCCAGTACAAACTTATAACTGAATGTTGTGCTTTGTTTGTGATGATTAGGCATAATCCTCATAGGAATCTTGACGGGGCATTGTGGACTGAATGTGCGCTTGAAGAAAGCTGGCATTTTCCAACACAATAAATGCGAATTCGGCGTACAGGCAGAGGAGAGTTCAACGGTCACTGGTGCACATTTCTCCGCGAGGTTTCTTGACAACTGAGATGAACGGTGTACTTTAAGTACAGAGCTGGGTATACAGTAGCACTTAAAAGAGCGAAGTGAAATAATTCCTTTGAATGTACAACTACAAATATGACTAAACATCTTCATTCAGAAAGAAGCAAGATCTACATATATTATTACATTTTTTCCTTCTTCTCGTGAAAAAAATTAATAAAGCGAAAATAGTGGCGGGACGAACCGAGAAGAGAAGCAGGAAGCAATTCGCGGCCTGCAAGATCCTGATCGGGATGGCACTGGGTCCGAGATTGAGAAAAAAAAAGCAAGGAGAGTCAGTTGGATATAGACATTCCGAGGAAGAGGTGGTCTCCGCGAGGAAAAAAAATATTGTTTTTTTAAAAAGTGTAGGTGTGTGTGTGGTTTGTGAACCTAGTCGGGCTGATCGAAGAGTTCCTACGAAGAGGAAGGGGCTGATGCCAGCAAGTGAGGAGTGATCCCGTGAGTTGGTACATTTCCAATTTCTTATCACGCCTGATAATTCTGGACTAGAGACATTAGCTATAAGTTTCTGCCTTTTGTTAGCTTTTAATTTAAAAGGATTTGTCTACGTACTTGTAATTAGAATAGTTGTGATTAGTATTCATTTTTTTTTTTCAATCGTAGTTTTAAACCCTAAGTAAGATAATACCTTAAGATATCTTGCTTGTGTTAACGAATTAACTCGGATAGAAGAAGGAAGAACTTCATCATTTAGCTCCCATCATAACCCTGGTTGGAAGCGCCATCAGAAAGAAGAGAGCCAGAAGCGCTACATCGCTACCCTTCCTTTTCTCTTTCTTCCTATTGTTCTACTCTTCTTTTCCTTTTTATCCCCTGGTTTCGGTATTTATCCTTCCCCAAAAATACCGTGGCGCTCAACGTAACACCTATAAATAAACTTTCACCTCCTCACCGACCATCACTTGTCTCTCCCTTCAACACGTTCCCCCCCTTTTCCACTGAGCTACCGCCAACGTACGTGCAGCCGCAGTAAGGAAGCTGTAACAATACCTCATAAAAGGACAGAATCGTTATAAGCTACCCCATGACGCCAAACTACTAGATCTAAAACAGCGGAATGGGAGAAAGTAGGAGTACTACCAGTCAACTCTGACTACATTTGGTACCAGGAAGGCACCAAAACCATCAGAGCATTGGAATCGGCAAAGCAAATTGAGAGTTAAAAATTCCAACATCTCTCGAAATATTTGCCACGGTATTTCAGTTGTGCTCCGGTCAAAAGAAATGCTGGAAGTAAAGGGAAAAAAATAGTTTTCTATCTGATCGCCATGCTCTAAGCACGTCAGATAGAACTGAAAAAATTCACATATATTACATGTACACTGGGCAAAATAAGAATAAATAACAAATTGTTCCCTGCCTGGATCAGAGAGCACCCAAGATAGAAGTTTAGTGAAGAAGCCTCTAGGAACCAGTGAGAGTTCCTCAATGACACCAGCAGTACCAGTACTTTTCTGTGAAATGAGTGAAAATCCACATAATATAAATTGCCGATCGTATTAAGTTATGAAAAACACCACAGGACTGACAAAGTTCAAAAACGACTCGCCCAAACTTACAACAGACCTGTTACGACAAAGTCGGGCAAAATTCATAATGATTTCAAGTCTATTAACTGCGCATTGACGCCTCAATATGCATGTTAACATATTGGGAGTAGCAGAAGAAGAGGAAACCGCATGTCATTGTTGCTGTGAAGGTCTAAAAATTAAGAAAGCTTCTATTCATGAAAAAAAAAATCCAGCAAAACTGAGTACCAATAGCAAAGCTATGGTGTCTGGTAACAAGCCTAAAGATTGATAATGAGGTATAAACCATACAAGAAACCATTACTAAACAAGGAGGTGATTTTACATCACAGGAATCTAGTACAAAATGATATGACATTCAATGATCAAGGTGAAGAGTTCAGGAGGATTCGTACTCGATTGTAAGGCGATTTTTGAATCTCTTTTTGAAATGTTTATTTCTCTCAATCTGGGCATAGTAGTCTCAGTCGTACTATATGCACTATGGTTTGTCACTGGTAGCAGTAACACCCAAATAAACTAAATTTAGAAATTGGAAAAACCATATACGGTATCATATACCAATATCCAAAATGAGATTGGATGAGGTGTAGAAATGAAAGAAATTAGGTCTTGACGTAAGAGAAACTGTAGGGGGGAGGCCGCGGTAGCCGAGTGGTTAAAGCGTCAGACTCTCGGCTAGTAGATCCCGCGGTCGTGGATTCGATCCCCACCGTCGCCTCTGGACTTTTTCTGACGCCTAAGGGGAACGGTGGCCGCAATTGAAAGAAAATGACACGGCACTCATCAATGGAAGGGGCGGGATCGGATCTCAGCGACCCTGAATTTGGTCCTAACTCACTTCAAACATGAGTTTCTTCGATGGAAGAACACCGGCACACCGGGGGCTCAAATTTACACTGGTGTTGCGAGCCCCCAAAAATATGGAGCCAGGGATAAAGTACAATAAGCTGTACAGCTGCAGTGCTCAGGAGGGAACTCCTCCAGTTCCTGGTATCCATTTGAAAAAAAAAAGAGAAACTGTAAAACTAACTTCATAA